CCGCTCGGTATACTGAGCGGTATACCGTTCCGTACCGTACCGAGCGATCGTCGAAGCTCCGGTACGGTACGAAATTTCAGACCTTGATTAGAACCACAAAGAAGCATCCCACCTATCAACCCTAGCTAGCTCAGCTCATTCGAATCCTAAACAGAAGCTAAAGTGGAGCGAATGAACATGCTTGACACAAAATAATCAAGTTAATATTGTAGTTCTGTCCTGGTTTGACTCAGTAAGAGAGATCCTGAGAGTTTTCGCTGCACGCCCATCTTGAAAACTTGGTAGAAGCAAGAGTTGAAAGAAGGCAGCTTCAAACATTCCCCGTAAGTCCCACGAACTAAAGCAGAAGATTCCTGGCTTAGTTGAACGCCATCCAAACCTGACCGAGACTAACTAAAATTTCCAAGTGGACCAGCAAATAATTTAATCGAGGCTGTCATCGGTCATCTCTCCCAGTTGGATCTCTGCTTGTGGATTTCTGAAGGGAGAAGTTTTATGGCTAAAATATTCCGCACTCAATAACAGGAACAATCAGTTCCCCTAAGAAAAAGTCAAAATGGAATAAAACAAGAAATAACAGGCCATCTTTTTCTGGTTTGATCGCTTGCTATGGTTTTATGAAGGGCGAAGTTCTATAGCTAAAATATTCGCCACGCAATATACAGGAACAATAAATTTCTAGGAAAATAAAATGTTTAAATGGAAGAAAAACAACAAACAACAAACATGTAACCTATAAAGCAATAAAGCAAAAACAATAAAGCAGGACGAAGCCCAGCTATCAAAGCATATGTTCAGAAAAAAAAAAAAAAATTATATTTTTCTGCATGTAGCCAAATTAATAATGCTCTATGTGACTCACGAATGAGTCGAGCGACGTCCAGTTGATGCGATCCATGACGCAGAGGATGAAAGGGATCTATTTGACTATTACGTTACCACACAAAGGAGTTGTGGAGACGAACCGTACACGATGTGTGCGGCACAAAATAAATCCCATCTTTTTCTCGATTAGTGCAACCATGACCCCACAAAACACTATAATACATCAATTCTCCTAATTCGAAGTGGTGGACCTGCGGCACCAACGACCACAACCGTCACATGCTGTAGTATGTCTACGCGTTTGCGTGAGCCATACACATGAGGCCAAAGCTTTATTATATATATCCTCTCGAGTCTATCGAGTACAGGAGAAAGTACTTTTCTTGATGTGTCCTCCACTGTAATTTTTTTATTTTATATATTTTTCAATTATTTTTGGATGACATTATAAAATCATTTTTTTTTGTTACATGATCGAGATTTTGGAAAGAACGCTCTACAACCATATATATATATATATATATATATATATATATATATATATATATATATATATATATATATATATAATAAAATAAAAAATAATTCTGTGGAGACAGTGTGTGCTGCGGGATAAACGACGTACGGTCGTACCGCCGGTTTTACGGGGGTGAGTCGTCCGAGAAGTTTCGTGGAAACTTCCAGGCTTCTCATTGGTGCCGTTTGCTTCGTTTCCTACCGACAATTGATGACGGCGGGTTGGGTCCACCGAACGCGCGGTGGAAACTCGAAGGGCCGTACGCTAACATGCGCCGCTCGAGAAAGAGGCGCGAGATCGATCGAATCGATCCGAGTGAAAGAAATGCGTAAATCGAGGGCAGGAAAAGAAGCAAAATGCATCAAGAATCAATCGCGATGCGTAAAAGACGATAAGATAAACACAGAGGATTTGGGGATGTTTTTTTGGGTTACCTGGATCTTCCGCTTCTTGGCCTCGACGACGCATCGCTGGTCGAGATCGGGGACCATGCGAAACCTGCGGCGACGGTTCTTCACCACGGCGCCTACCGCCCTCCGCCACCGCCGCTGCGCATCCTCCGACGGGTGCTTCGCCGCCACATCGAAGTTCTTCTTCAAGAAGCTCTCCATCGTCTCCGCCGCTTCGCTTCACTCCCTCTCAACCCGTGATCGCTCGGCTTCCTCCTCCCTTAAGCCCGCTGCTCATTGGTGGGGAGCCGTTCCAGTCGGGCAGGCGTTTTCCTTCCGCAGCTCGCGGTGCGGAACAGCGAAGACCGGAACAGATCTCTCCCAATAGAATTCATATTTGTCCCCAAGGTCGTTGAGTGGGTCGTGTCAAACTAAACGGCAATTTATATGACGTATTTCCGAATAAAGACTCAATTATTTACCGGATGAATTTTCAAAAAGAATCACTCTTTTTATATATATATTTTTTTCCAACAAGTTATACCATTATAAAATTACATAACAATGTTATATTTTTATATAATACTAAAATACATATTATTTTTTTTTCTATGGATCGATTCATAAATTACATAACAATGTTCAATTACAATATATTTATACTATTATAGTGTTTTCAATATATTTATATTTAAATGTTCAAATTGCAACTCTTACGATATGATCAACTCGTGGAGCCCACGTCTCGTGTGGTCTGAAGCGTCGATGGAGCTGTTGGCCATTGCTTGGGGCGGGTGATCCGCGAGTACATTTTCTTTTACGAAAATTTTACTTATACCTGTTTCCTCGCACCCATCTCTGTTACCCTCCTCGTGTGGATTCCGTAATAAACTCGTGTGGGCCGCGACGACGGCCCACTTCTTCCTCCAATCACATGATAACTGTTTGTTTGGTTGAGTGGAGAGTAGCAACGAGGCTTGTTGTGATTGTTGGCTTTGACTTTTTCTACTTTCCCTATCGGTATAGAAAAGTCAACGCCCTCACATGCTACCTTCTGATAGATCAATCTAACTGTTTTTAATATTATTTTGCAGCCTAATCATTTTCAACTTACTCAACACCATATCAATTTTTGGTCACCAATTATTTATTCCATCATCCTCTGAAGGTTTGGACAGACAACTGAGACTTATTTGAACTTATTTTTTATTCTTTCGGAGAGATTAGTAAGAAAAACATCTTACTGATATTATAATTATATATATATCGTTCAAAAGCTTAGAAAAATGCTAATATAATTTATATAATGATGTTAAATTCAAAAAAGATAAGATTAAAAATATATATGTATATAAATATGTATATATATATATATATATATATATATATATGTATGTGTATATATATATGTGTGTATATATATATGTATATATACATATATATATATACACGTATATATACATATATATTCATGTATATACATATATATATACATATATATACATATATATACATATATATATATATATATAAAACATAAAAAAAGATTTTCAATAATGAGAGTTTTATCGGATAGTGCCCCATCTTTGGTTTTTATGGGACACCCTTTTTTTAAAAAATATGACCAAAATATCCTTTATAAAATTAAAAACTATAATTAATGTTCGTTAACCATAGTTGATTGTTGTTTTTTTTTTACTTGTTCTATAAAACTCGATATTTGATATGTTCTTATTAGATCCTAGATTGCCCTTCTTATTTTTTTTATAAATCATCCCACTACCCCATTCCACCAATATAACAATAATGTCAAAGAAGTCGCTAATATCAATGTTCTTGGTTGTGACTGCCATTGTCACAATCTCCATCTCCATCACCATCTTCAATAGAAAGCAAGGGTAGCATGATCAATAGCCTTAGTCGTCTAAAGCGATAGTCGGTGAACATCATTGGAGATGAGAGGAAAGGGGTCTCATTGAGCCATGGTAGTGTTATTATTACTATTGGCTTACTACCTATCACCATCATAGGAGGTCACTATAATGGTTGCAATCGTCATTACCAATAGGGTAGGAGATGGCCATCACCTTCCTACCAAGAGTATGTCGGCTTCCTTCCCATTGTTAGTCGTTGTTGTCGTAGCTATCTGTTGAGCGTTGATCAAAAATGCAATCAAGCTATAACCTAGCCATCGTTGTTTGGCTTCCCGCTAGTCATCCTAATCATGGCTGTCAGTTGAGCCTCAGTGATGATTGATCGCCAAAATTGATATTCTTCTTCCCACTAATGTCTATTATCATCAATGTCAATGAAGCCTTTGTAGAGCCTCGATGAATAGCGATTGATCATCTTATCATTATTTAGCATTATCGAGCCTTGTTGAATCATTTGTAGTATTGTTAAAGCCTCAACATCTTCTTTCATAGTGTCCTTGAAGCCCTATCATTTGGTGTATCATCAAATCATTCGTTTCAATAATAAAAATATATATAATATTAAATGAATACATCTTTATAGTTTGATATTATTAATTTTGAATGTCAGCTATTTATGATAGAGATGATCCTCTTCCAAATAAAATATTTAGTTTTCTATATAAGATGGACACTTTCAATAAAATAACACCTTTGTCAACATTTGAATCAAAAATAATTTTGGAAAGTAGTCATCCAATACCTTGAATGATCAACCTTTGCACAACTTCAAACATCAAACTTAACACTTGAATGATATTCTTCTACACAACCTTAAATTTATAACTTTGATTTGAATAAAACATTTGTAATAGATGACAATGTAGAATGTTATAAGATATTCAAAGAAGAGCAGACTGAGCAGAGAATAGCCTAAGAATTTAAAGAAGATATAGATCATTATACATTTGATGTCGATGATATTGTTAGTGAGATAATAATTTTAAATATGAAAGAAAACCTCTTAGAGGATAGGGCCATAGAAGAATATAACTTCAACCTTAATGCCTTAGCTCCCAATCCACATAAACTTGTCACTAATGACCTATATTGGAAAAGTAAAAATTTATGACTATTCATATTATTATTTAATATAAAAAAAATTATTTGTGATATTTGACACATAAGTATTTTATTCATTATAGGTATTTAAAGATATGTCAGAGTTTTAAGAGAGCTTTGCAAGAATATATTATAAGAAAAAAATTGAAATGAAAATTCATGTAGAAGTTACAAGCTTAAAACATAGAGGTTGAGCATTATGAATGAATGATGGTTGCTAGTGGAGGTGATATATGTCGAATTACAAAGTTCATCAATAAGCACCAATACAATATACCTAGAGGAAATTGAGATCATCTTTCTTATACTAATATGTTTATAGCTAAAGAAATCAAAGAACAAGTTCTTGTAAATGAATATTATACATTGAAAATAATCATCACAAATATATAAAAAAGATTTGGAATGGTAGTTTCATATAGAAAAGTATATTTGTTTGGTTTATCTTTTGAAGAATTTAATAAATATACATGATAGGGAGGCGACTAGAGTTTTTTCGGACTACCACGATAGAGTTCTAAGTTTAAAGAATATATGCAAAAATTGATGAAAAAACATATAAAAGTGGGCTATTATATTTTTTTTAGGGTATGCAATGTTAACAAATGATTCTGAAAACATGAATTTACTATGATTGAGATGACACGAGAGAAAGCTACCAAGTGATTTTATTTATGTTGTCAATTTGCCAATGGTATGATCAATAGTACATTGACACCTCGGATGAATGAAGAAATATCGAAATCAAAAGATAAGACGAGATTCTATGTTGTTCACCCTCACTAAAATAATATTTTCCAAGTCTAAATTATCATAGACCGGGAAAGATGATTTATTTATGTTAATATTTTGATATATTTGGTATTTCATGCTCTCATGCAACAGCTGCTATTGGGTTTCTGAAGTCCAATCTATATGACTATTGTGATTATTACTTTTTGATAGAATATTTGCAAAAGATTACAATGATATCATCTTCTCAATAAGAAGGAATCAGTTTTACATTAAAACACCTAACGAAAAGATTATTTGATCATCGAAGAGCATTGAATCAAAACACAATGGTCAATAGTTAGGTTACAATCAATGATCATACAAATTTTCGTTCTCAAATGTAAAATAATGTGGTATCTTCAGTTTTCTTGTATAATTTTTGTTGTTTACATTGGCTATAGGATGACATAGTTTTTTTTTGTGTGTAAAGTATACCTATATAATTTTTCTACAAGTGTGTCACAAAATTATTAAATATAATATTAAAAATATTAATATTATAAAATAATAATTTTCTTACTGTATCATCCTGTGACAATATGAAACAATCTGTGACAATAATAATTTTCTTAAAAATTATAAAACAATCTGTGACAATATCATCATGTATGCATGAAATAGACAACCACATTGCTGTATTGCTGAATGATGATAAAAATAGAAAGCAATCTTTATATAGGATCTCTACCTCAACGTTCGAAAACTAACTTCTTTGTATCTATTTTTATTTTCACTTCACAAACGGTAGATATGACATAAGATCATCTGATTAACGGTGTGAGTGAGATTTTATGACTTCCATATGCAAAGTACCTTGCACTGCATCTGCCATCACAAAAATATACACTGAATTCACGAGGGTGTGGTGTGGGTGATGATGTGGATTTAGATGACCAGACAAGAGGAGGAAAAGAAGGCAGGCAGTAGAGTGGAAGGCAAAGCAAGATGAAGCTGAACAAGTGTTTAGGAACATGTGAATCCAACTATGATTACATATTCGTCCCTAATGATTTTATTGATTCCTAAGACAATATGCATTCAAACTATTCTGGCCCTAAAGTACAGAAAAATACTTGCATGAAAAAACAATGCATTAGATCAATGTTTACTTGATAATAACCACCAATAAGACATTTTCTTGATAAAAAAATATCATTGACATCGACGAATCCAAAGGAAGAAGAAAAGAAGGATAAATCTTATCAGACTATGATTCACAAGCATGAATCTTAAATTAGGTTAAAAAAATATCAAATGATAAGAACTTTATAACTTTCTATAGTTGTTGAAAGTATATGCAGCAGAATATATGCAAGATTGAAGTAAAAAAATCACCAGAGTATAATAGAATATGAACATTTAAGTTTTATCACAATTGATCTATGACAAGCTTGCCATAAGGAAATTAGTTATTATATCGATTTACACTGTGTAATATCATAAAAAACTACCACATTTGGTCAGATACCTATCCTTAATTACACTAGAAAATATTAATCGATATGTACTAAGTATATGATGATATTCTATTCCTTGGTCCTAGATCATCAATTGAACAAACATCCCAGCATAATCACACCTACCAAAGAACTCATAGTCATAATCATAAATTTTGAGGA